TCTTTGTATTTGACACAAGAGTCTAAGGGACAGTTTCTAGTATTTATTTATGTGTTGGGAAGATGAATGTTTGAGTCTCTATTATCTAATATAAAAATATGTTTGTAAGCCTTTTGGAAAATCAAGTTTTTAATCAATATAGTCAGAGTTTTCTCTATTTTCCTTGTGTGCAAGGTTGTTTATCTTTGCTCATGGATTAGAGTTGTTACCGTCCAAAGAACGATATCTTCCCCCTCGTCTACTAAAACGATATCTAGTCATTCCTTGCGCTAAAACATTGCGTCAAAATCTATGCTACATGAAAAGGGGCTGCCCAAAATCTATACGGCAATTTACTTGATGATAGATGTCCTACAAAAGCTCTCGAGAACAAAACTTCATTTGAAGCTTGGAGTGGAAGGAAGCCATCAGCGAATCACTTGAAGGTGTTTGATTGCATTTGTTATGCTCGTGTCCCAAAAGAAGTGAGACACAAGCTTGATGAAACTAGTACAAAATGCATCTTTGTGGGTTATAGCTCAAAATCTAAAGGCTATAGACTCTATAGTTTGAACAAGAAGAAGGTGATTATTTCTAGAGATGTTCTCTTCGATGAGTAAGACTTCTTTTGATTGGAAGGGAAAGAAAGTTCAAAATCAAGTCATTGTTTCCAATGAAAATTTGGAAGGTCAACAAATTGAAGATGTTCAAGCACCTGGATCTCCACAAAGATTGTCATCCATTGCTAGTTCACAATCTTCTCAAACTTTGAGTTCAAGTTCTACATCTCAGAGTTCAACACCAAGAAGAATGAGGAATCTGAGTAATGTGTATGCAATATGCAATTTATGCATCACTAAACCTGCGAACTTTGAAGAGGCAATTAAAGATGAAGCATAGAAGAAAGCCATGGAAGATGAAATTCAATTGATTGAGAAGAACAAAACTTGGGAGGTAGTGGAGAAACCGGAAGAAAAAGAAATAATTGGTGTGAAATAGATTTTCAAAACAATGTTCAACCCAGATGACTCTATTCAAAAGAACAAAGGAAGACTTGTGGAAAAAGGGTATTCACAACTACCTGGAACTGATTTCCAAGAAACTTTTGCTCCGGTGGCACAACTTGATACAATTAGAGCACTCATTGCTTTGGCGGCTCAAAAGGGTTGGTTTTTGTAATTGGAAGAAGAGATGTATGTTGATCAACCTCAAGGCTTTGTTGTCAAAGGCAAAGAAGATAAAGTGTACAAATTGAAGAAGGCATTGTATGGCCAAAAGCAAGCACCTCGGGCATGGTATAGTGAAATTGATGTTTACTTCAATGAAAAGGGTTTTCAAAGAAGCAAAAGTGAGCCAACCTTGTACATCAAGAGGCAAGGTAAACTGGTATTTTCATTGTTTCACTTTATATTGATGATTTGGTCTTTACCGGTAGTGATGAAAAATTTATTTAAGATTTTAAAAGGGAGATGATGAAGAAATATAAAAGTTTTTATTTTTGTTGAAGTTTTTAGAAAAACTTGCTATGATATCATATTCACATTTTCTTTTTATTTTCTTTGCATTAAAGCACAAGTACTAAGGGCTTCAACTTTTGTACAAGATGTTCACCCTTCATATTTTTTTGTTCCTTCTTTCACTAAATAATATAACTATTCAATTTTTTTCTCCAATTTTCTATTGAAATCCTAATGTTGTTAAAAGACAAAGGGTTTGCCAAATTCCCAAGGTCATTTATTGTTGTATTTGTTAGCCTCATATATTCAATACTATTCTCCTAAAGTAGATAGATTAGAATATCATGTTTCTTCAAAAAGTACAGAGGGTGTGAATGATCAAGCTAAAAAATGAAGTTTGATATATTAGCCAGTGGAAAATACTAAGAGATTTTGAGGAGCCAATACAACATATAGACGTGTGTACACATTTTTATACGTTAATTTTATAGTAACATTTACGCACATGCATACACATATATGCAAACATTTTAAATGCATAAGTTTTGTTGTAACAAGCTAAAGGTACTGAGAGTTCTAAATTTTCCTTTTGTAAGTGCTCTGTTATCATTCCATCAACTCTATAACACTTTTCATCCAGCAAAATCACCAAATAGCAATGAGATTAAAAAAGAGTCCATCAACTGGACCCACTCAGCAATTTCATGTATCACAGGAGCAATGATTTCACATGGACTTTTAAGGCTTATGCTTTACTTTTTCTCCCTCTACTCTCTAGCTAATAGGTATTGGCAAAAGTATCCACATAGCATTTATACTTCTTATCATAGTTGTCAAATCAGAATTCGTATTGTGAATCAAAATAGCCTTGTACCGAATCGTGAATCGTAAAGATTTGGCCACTTTTTCTAAATTACTTAAAAACATATATCTACACATTTAGATGTTAAATATGTCTGATGAATATGACATATTTAGACTTAAATCAATAAAAATGTTATTTTGAATGATAATCATGTAGTTTAATAGGTAAGAAGTTAACAAAAGTTCATATGTAAGATCACCATCTTACCTTTTTTCTTTTTTAGATATTTCTTATCAACCATTCTTAATAAAGATAATAACCAAATAGACAAATTATCAATTTCCAATGTAACAATAATTAACAGCGATATTGATATTTGGACAATAAGCATACATACTTTTCTAAGTACCAGTGAGCAAATAATAAGAAAGAATTATTTAGAATCTTTTATTTTAGCCTAAAGTATTTTAAAAGGTATAATTGACCTCACACATGTAATATTTAATTATATTCAATTTAATAAAATAGCAATAGATAATTCATAGTGTAACTTTAATCTTAAACATCTTTAGAAAATATATTATGATTTTTTAAAGGGAAAAAAAATGAGAAAAAATGTTTAAAATATGTTGGGTCTGACTAAATCTAATTGGATCCTATTAAAAACTCCATGATCACTAAAATAACAACAAATCATGTATATATGTTAGTTATTTTAGTATTAAACGCTATTAGAAGTTGTATAATGTCATTTTCACTAAAAAGATGGAGAAAAAAAGAATCGAAAATATGTTGGACACAATAATTTTAAAAATTGCATGGATCGTAAAAATTGAATCGAATCGTAAATCGATTGTGAATCGTGCGATTCACTAGAGATTTACTTCCAAAATATATTCACCCATAGATTCGTATCGATTTTGCAAAATTTGCGAATCGAATCGCGAATCGTAAGATTCTTATAACAAAGCTTCTTATATATAGTATAGTATGGTAGTCCAGTGATTTGAGAACCCTATCTACCCTCCTAGGTTTGAGTTAAGTTGATATTACTCCATTTCTTGATGGATAAGATTTTTTTTCTTTTTTGGAGAAGTATTTTTCTATGGATAAGATTACTATGGATAAGATTAAATCTCACAACTTTGAAGTTCAAATTATTCACATCACAAAAACCACTACAATAAATGGATCAACCATGATTTGAAGTCGATAACTTTAAAGATAAACAAAGAGATACCATCCCCATCCCCATCCATATGATCACACAATTTTCATACTAACAAACAAAAGCAGCTAAAGAGAGATTGAGAGAGTGACTGACTTCCAAAAGATTATAAGAACAAATTAAATTGCAAGGAGCATGCTCATTAATTTTCCATTGCCCCAGAAAGTCGATAATCATCTGAATTAATAATCTGCCGTCGTTGTTTGAATTAAAGCTATCTCATGAAGAGCAAAGGCTGAGAGAGAGAGAGAGTACTATGAAAAATATAACAATCCAGGAAGAAGTCACCACATTGAAAAAGAAATGGGAATTGAAGCCGAAAATTATAATGAACGATGGAAAACTAGAATATGCACTAGTACAGGTCAATCAGCGAACTGTTACCCAATAACTTATTAACAGGAAATCATGGGTCTAAAAGAAAAATTCTAGCACCTATATCAGCAGAAATCACACACAGTACTATAGTTTCAAGTTATAAATTGTTAAATCCATAAGCTCTAGAAATGAAACAAGAATTGTGTCCCATACACCTAAACCACAGGCACCAACAAATACTATCCTCCAAACTACAAACATTCTCAATGTTCACTCAAATAAAAAGCATCCAAAAGAATTTGATAACGTTTATTCAAATTAAAGGCAGGCCCGTGCACGAGGTTCCCAATACTACAAGATCTAGGAAAGGGGTACGCAATTTTGTCCCTCATGGTGATAGTGCTGTGTTTGTGTCTCAAATTCATGACAGTCAGGTCACAATCGAGCAACCATGCGCTGCACCAAGGACCACCCTTAGATTATCCAAATTAAGTTGTAAAAAAAAAAAAATTAATATTTTCTACAAACATGTTAACAAAACCCACTCATGATTGAGAACAACAGATCAAAGTACGCACTTCAATTATATATCGGGGAGCACATATCCCATGGAATAAATCCGAATTCTCTACCTATACAGCACTCTAGAGAAAAAAACAACCATAGAGTCATAAAAATACATATACTCCCAACCCCAAGGGGCTGGCCTGGTGGCAACGCCTTGGGTCTTGGGGTGTGCTCTCCCTAAGTTTCTGAAATCGAACCTCTTTGGTGCTAATAATTCCTTGGGGCCATCAGACTGAGGAAAAACCCTTAACTTAACTGTGGTGCACTCGCAGAAAACTCCTTGCTTAGGGCCTATGCACCCTGGAGATTAGTCGGGCTTTGATCCGGACACTCCAGTGCCAATCAAAAAATAAACAAATAAATAAAATGCATATACTCTTGTCAAATTCCATGAACCACCTCTAAGACAACACATTCTCATAAAGAACTTCACCTCTCTATCTCCACAAACTCTTGGAAACAAATACCCAATAAATTATGATTGCAACAAATAAATAAATAATAAAAACCAACACATGCCCATAATAATACCAAAAATCTTCATCACAGATTACACATTTGCGAAGAATTTCATCTGGTTATTTTAAGAAATGCACTAATTAAAGAAAATTAAAAGCGAAGACTATCAAAGATCAAGGGGGCTTACCAGTGGAGCTTGAACACGATAACCCCTCTGTGCATTCGGAGGCCGTTCAATGGTTGGGTCCATCTAACCAGTAGAGTTTCATAAACGAATTTCTGGGTCGCACCCAGAATCAAAAATCAACGTTAAATTTGCTTCACATACCCAGATCGAGAACTCTATAAGCTTCAATCTTCATATCTGATCAACAAAAATAAATAAATAAAAACAAATTACTACCCCTAAAAGTTCGAAACCCAAAGAATAGCTTTTTGCTGTCCCTTTTTATGACGCGCAAACGCAAACAAGAAAACAAACAGCAAATGGAGCTTAAACGTTGAAGAGCTACAGCAACTTCAAAACGTCTCTCTCACTCTCTCTCTCTCTCTTATATACACACACTTTCTGTCTAAATACTTCAACTCAAGATTACAGGTGCACCATTCTAATTCACAAAGCCTTAGAAAATCACATTTTTTAGTTTTTCTAGGAAAAGATCATAATCAAACAATAAATGGGATATAATAAAAAATTTATAAGTTATAATTAAAATAAATTATAATTAAAAAATATTAATCATAATTAAATAATAAAATAATATAATTTAGGGGTATATATAATAAGGGATGTATATATTAGAATTTTCCTTACAAGAATATACATGAGAGTTACACCACTATAAAAATGTAATTCTTTTACCACTACTTGATTTAAATGCAATTTTCTCATTTTCCTTTGCAGATTTGATAATTAATACATTAACACTCTTTTTTATTAATGTAATATCTCGAAATTAATTTTTAACTCTCGGGATGAAGAAAACTTACCAAGGCTTAGAGGTGTAAATTCATCTCATTAGCCTGCGGCTCGCTTGAGGCCTGACCCGTCTCCCTTTGGGCCTAGGTCGTGCATTTTCTAGCCCAACCTGACTTTCTGCTCTAATAATTGGCCCATGCAGGCTACCCGACCTGCCGATGCCTCCCCAATGGTCAAAATTTCCAAAATCTTCAGAAGCGGTTAAATTTTTGTATCATATTCGCTATTCAGTAACATTAACAGAAAATGTTTAAGACCCTCAAAAAGTACCCACAAATGATATGATAGGATATGTACGGGGAGCAGATATTCCGGCGTGCCCGTATTCCTTTCTTCCGAGCTCCGTCGATGTCCGATCACCTGCGAGTCAATAAGGATGAGCTACCCGGCGGTGTGTGGCCGGAAAAACCCTCCGACGGTCAAGTTAGCACACACCTTAGAGGGAATAGAGAGAAGGGAGAGAGTGTTTGAGTGTAAGGATTTTCTTACAGAGTGTTCGTCTATCTCGCATGGGGGGCGCAGACAGGCTTATATACCTTCTGTGCCCCATATCCACTCCCTGTCATCTCCTGACACGTGGCTCTGCTATCCCATCTGTCAGCTTAAACCATGCCGTTCATCACCTGCACCTGCCGATGCCTCCCCAATGGTCAAAATTTCCAAAATCTTCAGAAGCGGTTAAATTTTTGTATCATATTCGCTATTCAGTAACATTAATAGAAAATGTTTAAGACCTTCAAAAAGTACCCACAAATGATATGATAGGATATATGTCAACTTTTAATTGTTACACACTTAATGATGGTGGGCCCAACTCCCATGCCACATCATTGTAGGTGAATTTGTGAGTATAAATGTGTAGGCCTTTAGCATCAACATTAATTGTTTGAATTAATATTTATTAGTTACTCATTTTTTTACATTAATTGTTAATTAATATATATTACTTGTTTTAATTGATATTTATTAGTTACTCATTTTTTTTAATTAATTGTTAATTAATAGATAGTATTTGTTTTAATTGATATTTATTAGTTGCTCATTTTTTTAATTAATTGTTAATTAATATATATTAATTTACTTGTATTAATATGGATCGTAATAATTTTGTCAATATTGATTAATATAACATGAATCAGTTAATTCTCTTAACCCTATTGTTGCAGCGACATCTAGGGCTCGTCTAGTGTTTGAGAGCATTTTGAAATAATATATGTAACTTTTCCCAATGATAAAATTGTAACTAAAACAAAATATAAGTATTTTGTAAATTTACTTAGTGTTGCACTAGTTGGTGGTATTAGTCATCCAAAATGCTAATAAATATTTATAAAGTCAACAACTTAATATTAGAATTCAAATACAAATAGGAAGTACATCAGCAAGTAATTTGTCTACATTTTTATATGATCATATACGTGCACAATATATGCGAGTTAATTATATTGTTAGAAAAGAACAACATTTTACTACTAGTGAATGTCTTGATTTTGCTGAATTAGTTCAAGGAGCTTTTGCACCTCAATTTCAAAGTTTTTCAAGAAATACTACTAGAAACAGGGTATTAAAGAAATTTCATGATATTAAAATTAAATTATTTAACATTTTTAAAGATTTGAGTGGAAAAAATTTGTTTAACATCTGATATGTAAAAATTAAATAAAGGTTTAGAATATCAATGCATCATTGTACATTATATTGATAATAATTAGAAATTAAATAAAAGAATAATTTCATTTAAATTAGTTGAACTTCATTTGTGGTAACAATAAGGAATGAACTATCTAAGTAGACTTTGCAAAATAAAATATTTATCACTAATTTAGATAAAGTAACTGTAAGAATTTATGTATTATTGATTGATTGTGTGTTATATATATTACAAATGGTGAGTGGCTCATTATATAGGAGAGGGTGAGTGTAGTAGGTGAGGAGTAGGTGGTGGTAGGTGATGGTAAATTGGTGGTAGGTGATGGTAAATTTTAACAGCCCCCCGCAAACTCAAGGAGGATAAAAACTAACCATTAACATTTTTAAAGATTTGAATGGAAAAAATTTGTTTAACATCTGATATGTGAAAATTAAATAAAGGTTTAGAATATCAATGCATCATTGTACATTATATTGATAATAATTGGAAATTAAATAAAAGAATAATTTCATTTAAATTAGTTAAACTTCATTTGTGGTAACAATAAGGAATGAACTATCTAAGTAGACTTTGCAAAATAAAATATTTATCACTAATTTAGATAAAGTAACATATGTTGTTCAAAATTATGAAATTAAATAAATAGATTTATGAAGAAAACAAATTATATACCAAGAACATATGCTGATAATTACAACTAAATTTCAACAGAAATACACAAAAAACAATAAAGGGTAAAGAGACAAAACCGAAGCCTGCACGGAAGCAATTTCCTTAAAACAGATTTCGCCGCCTCACGGGTCGAGTGCTTGAGGAAACCCGGCGTCTGTCTCCCAGGATACGACGGTCAAAACCAGCTACGGCAGAAGCACTATCTGTCTAGCTTAGCGAACAAAACAATGGCAGCACTCTCTCACAATAGGAACTATCAAGCAAACTGACTTGTAAAATGGAAGCAAAAATTTCTATATTGAAACTTTACAGAAGGGTCTCAATTTATACATGTATAGGGGAGAGAGGAAAAGCATCCATCCTTTAAGGCTAGTCATTAAAACACCAAGCATCCATAGCCCCTTTCCACAAAATGAAAAGTATGGATGCCCAAAGGATTCACACCCTTTAGCCAAGAAAAAAGATTTAAATACTCTTTAAAATCTTATTCATGAATCTAACATCATGAAGCAATTTCTTGGCAATTTCTTATTCAAAACCCAATGGTTTTTGGCTCACTTGGACCCAACACAAAAAATGGTTAGGACCCACTTTAATATTTAATTAAAGTCACCACATTTTAATATTAAATTAAAGTCCCCAAAAATCATTTTTTCCAACAATCCCCCACATGAATAAAAATTGACCGAATGACTCAACAAACGGACATCGTTCAACAATAAAGACTCTGAGAGAGAGTACAATGGACTAACCCCGACATCAAAGAAGGTAGCTTTTGTCTTTGAACCTCTCCCAGTGAAAACCTATCGAGTTTACTGGCAGATATAAGACATCTTGAACTGCTCTACCGTTTATGTAAACTGAGACAATAGATCTCACACGGGAATTACTCCTACCACCATTATGTTCTCACTGGTGTGCCCTGTGTGGCCCTGAACACTAGCCTGGTTCAGCGAGTGGTTTCAAAGAATCTTGGCCTGCCCAATTCTTCTAGAAGCGGCCCCACTTCAAACTCACATAGGTGACTCTACTAAAGTATCCTGCAATACTTAGCTCAACAGCTTAACACATAAGAATCATTAAAAGCTCAGCTTATCCTCTACACTTGCAGGTATCACTAATAGAAGGAATCGCTAGAGGTTTAACCTCCTCAGTGACATACCACCGTTACACGCAATTAGGTTGTCCCATTAAACCTAGATCTTAGGATCTCCAGTCAACTAGGTTAGGTTTCCATTCCGGTAACTTCCAAAGGCCTTAACCCCATTCCTTTTGACGACGTTTCGACTAACACTCGACTTAACCCTTTGCTTAGCGGATCCACAATGTTATCCTTAGACTTTACAAAGTCTAAAGAGACAACTCCATTCGAGAGTAGTTGTCGTATGGAATTATGTCTACGACGGATATGTCTAGACTTTCCATTATACATATTACTCTGTGCCCTACCAATTGCAGATTGACAACAAATGAGAGTAAAATTTATTCTAGTATGTGCTCTGTTTTTGTTTGATAAAATGAGAGTAAAATTTTACTCTGGTGTTATTTGCTCTTTTTTTTTTTTGTGATACAATGACAGTAAAATTTTACTCTATTATTGTGTACTTCTGTTATTTGTTTTCAGATCAACGAGTTCAAGCGATAAAACAAAGTGAGGGAGACAAACGAGTTTATCGTTTGATATTTGTCCATTTATATGGAAGGGTATTTCAATCTACTTCTTATTTGCTCCCTTTTGAGGGACTTTTGAAATTAAATAAATAGATTTATGAAGAAATCAAATTATATACCAAGAATATATGCTGATAATTACAACTAAATTTCAACATAAATACACAAAAAACAATAAAGGGTAAAGAGACAAAACCGAAGCCTGCATGGAAGCAGTTTCCTTAAAACAGATTTCGCCGCCTCACGGGTCGAGTGCTTGAGGAAACCCGGCGTCTGTCTTCTAGGATACGACGGTCAAAACCAGCTACGGCAGATGCACTATCTGTCTAGCTTAGCGAATAAAACAATGGCAGCACTCTCTCACAATAGGAACTATCAAGCAAACTGACTTGTAAAATGGAAGCAAAAATTTCTATATTGAAACTTGACAGGAGGGTCTCAATTTATACATGTATAGGGGAGAGAGGAAAAAGCCTCCAACCTTTAAGGCTAGTCATTAAAACACCAAGCATCCATAGCCCCTTTCCACAAAATGAAAAGTATGGATGCCCAAAGGATTCACACCCTTTAGCCAAGAAAAAAGATTTAAAT